GGGTTGCTGAGCGCCGCTTAGGCCTGGTCATGGAGATTGCCCGCACCTCCATGATCCACGCCCGCGCGCCCCATTTTCTGTGGCCCTACGCGGCTCGGTACGCCGCTCACCAGCTGAACCTCTGGCCTCGTGTCTCTCGGCCAGAGGCTTCACCGACCAGTCTTTGGACAGGGTCCCCTGGTGTAGCGTCGAGGTTTAGTGTCTGGGGCTGCTTGGCTCTTGTCCGCGACACCTCTGCGGACAAGATCTCACCTCGCGCCGTCCCCTGTGTCTTCCTTGGTTTCCCAGAGGACTCCTCTGACTTCACCTTTTACCACCCTCCCTCCCACCGGTTCTTTGACTCTCGTGACGTCCGTTTTGACGAGTCCGTCCCCTACTACGTCCGGTACCCCTGTCGAGGTCTCCCGGTTCCCCCCCCTCCCCTCTTCCTGGCTCCAGCTCCTCCTCCTCCCGCCCCTGCTCCTCCGGTACCCCCCCCTGTTCCCGCTCCGTCTGGTGTGTCCCACGCTACCCCCCCCTCCCCCCTCCCTCGGTACCCCCCCAGGTCTCTCCTCCTTCCCCACAGTCGTCCTCACAGCCTCCGCAGCAGCCGTCAGCGCTTCCTTTACCGGCCACTGCGGACTCTGAGGGTGTTGGTGCTCGAGGTGAGGGCTCTGGCGGTGCTCGCTCTGGGGGTGCTGGCGTTGGAGCTGTTCGTGCACCTACAGGAGCCGCCCGTTCTGGGGGTGTTGGCGTTGGCGCTGAGCGTTCACCTGCTGTAGCTGCCCGTTCCGAGGGTACTGGAGCTCGTGGTGGTGCTGGAGCTAGTGGTGTTCCTGGAGCTGGAGGGTCTGGGACTGGTGCTGGTGCCACTGGAGGCACCACGACTGGGGGTGCGGGTACACCTCCTACAGGTGCTGGTCGTGCTGTCGCAGGGGGTACTCGCTCTGGGGGTGCTCAGCCGGGTACTGTCGAGGGCGGAGCTGGTTCTTCTTCTTCGTCTCCTGACACCACTCCTCCTCCTCACCCCTACCCTACTCGTTACCAGGCCCTTCTTCGTGTTGAGCGTGAGGAGCAGCAGCGTTTGGAGCGTGAGAGGTTGGAGGTTCAGCGGCGGGTGGAGCGTGAGCGGTTGGAGTTGCAGCGGGAGCAGCAGCAGCAGCAGCAGCCGCCGCCGCCGCCGCAGCAGCAGCAGCCGGAGCAGCCTCCGGCCCCTGTTTCTGGCCTTCGGGCCCTTGGTCTCCCCTCCTCTCCTCCTGTGTTCGGTCCTACGTTTCCTCCTCCGGACTCCGCTCCGGCTGTGTTCCCTCGTCCTCAGTCTCCTCCGTCTCCCTCTCCTCTCGCCCACACTTGGGCCTCTCGTCCTCCTCGTGCTCGTCCTTCGTCACCTGTCACTGACCTCCGTACTGTGTTGTTCCGTCCTAGTCCTCCTCGTTCTCCTCCGTCTGTCCTTCCTCGCCCTCCTGAGTCGTCTCTCACTGCCTCCCTGTCCACTCCGGTCACTGACTACTACCGCACGTACCGCCCCACTCTCTCGTGTTCTCGCCTCTCTTGTTACCGACCCTCGTGCCTCTCCTTCCTCCGTCGCGGTCCTCACTGCCGCTGTCACTGACTTTACTGCTACGCGTCGCCTTGACTACGCCACTCGTGTTGTGGCCGCTCCTCCTGTCCGTCCTCTGTCCGCCGGGGGTGAGTCTGCCCTTGGCTGTGACGTCCTAGAGGACAGACAGTTTGAGCTAGAGTTCCTGGCAGCTGCTTCGCCTCATCTCTGTGCCATGCTGCTCGCTCCTGAGGGAGACCCCGACGCTCCTGACATACCTACTCCTCGCACTTACGCTGAGGTAGTGTCAGGGCCTTGGGCCTCTCAGTGGAGAGCTGCCATGGACGTAGAGATGGCCTCCTACAGGTCCACAGGCACTTACGTTGACGAGGTTCCCCCCCCAGGGGCGAACATAGTTGACGGCATGTGGATCTTCAAGGTGAAGCGGCCGCCGGGATCTCCCCCAGTCTTCAAGGCACGCTACATGGCTAGAGGTTTCAGTCAGCGCGAGGGGGTTGACTTCTTTCAGACCTTCGTGCCCACCCCGAAGATGACCACTCTTCGGCACAGAGGGACTACGAGCTGCACTCCCTCGACTTCTCCACCGCCTTCCTGCAGGGCAGCCTACACGAGGAGATCTGGCTGCGTCGTCCTCCGGGCTTCACTGGCACCTTCCCGCCTGGGACCCAGTGGAGCCTCAGACGACCGGTCTACGGTCTCCGTCAGGCACCCCGTGAGTGGCACGACACTCTCCGCTCTACTCTGTCCGACCTCGGGTTTGAGCCGTCTTCCGCCGACCCGTCGCTGTTTGTTCGTCGTGGGCGCACACCTTTCTTCGTTCTGGTCTACGTTGACGACTTGGTTTTTGCCACAGCCGACACAGTTGCACTGGCGGAGGTGAAGTCCGAACTGCAGAAGAGACACACCTGCACTGACCTTGGGGAACTGCGCCGCTACCTTGGCCTGCAGATCTCCAGGGACAGAGCCGCTCGCACCATCACTCAGACTCAGTCACACATGGTGCAGCAGGTCCTTCAGCGGTTCGGGCTTCAGCACTCCTCTCCTACACCCACCCCTCTTGCTGTAGACCACAGACTCACTGGGCCTTTTCCTGACGAGCCGTTCGAGCCCAGTGGTCCCTACGCAGAGCTGGTGGGCTGCCTCATGTACCTGATGACGTGCACTCGCCCGGACCTCGCCTTCCCTCTTAGCATCCTTTCAAGCTTTGTTGCGACTGGGAGACACCGTCCTGTTCACTGGACGGCGGCTAAGAGGGTGGCGAAGTACCTTGCCACGACATCAGACATGGGGCTTGTACTTGGAGGGACACAGCCAGTTGTACTCACCGGTCACTGCGACTCCTCCTACGCCGACGACGTTGAGACTCAGAGGTCTACGCAGGGTTACTGTTTCAGTCTGGGCTCTGGAGCTGTTTCGTGGAGGTCTACTCGGTCCTCCTCTATTGAGACTTCTACCGCAGAGGCCGAGATCTACGCTGGAGCCCTTGCTGCACAGGAGCTACGTTGGTTGACCTTCTTGCTCACTGACCTTGGTGAGCAGCCGAGCTCTGCACCGACCTTGTTTGCTGACAACAAGGCGATGATTCTCCTGTGTCGTGAGCCTCGACTGGAGAGCAGAGTGAAGCACATCGACGTCAGGTACTTCCTCCTTCGAGAGTTGCAAAGACGCAGTCAGGCGCGTCTGGACTTCGTGGCCTCCGAGGCCAACACTGCAGACATCTTCACCAAGGCCCTTCAGCCTTGTGACCACCGCCGGTTTTGTCTGCAGTTAGGCCTCGTTGAGACTGGGTCTAGTAGACTGCAGTAGTGAGTTCTTGCCTCTTGTTTGTTTGTACTATATATATTAGCTTGTACTCTCTTGAACTGGCCTTGTGGCCTCTTGTTTGTGCTCAGACTGGTGGTGACGTTGTGATCCACCCTGAGCTGTGTTTTCTCTCTTGCTTGTGACTGGTCTTGTGACCTTAGGTTGTGTTTTGTTGCTTGGCATTCCCCACTTAGGCTATGGGGGTGTGTCAAATGTTATAGCCTCTAGTGGGACATGCTATATGGGGTACAAACAGTTAGGGTTAGGCATTTGTACCCCAACACAGTCAATCTAACTCATTCCGCTGTTTTCACTTTGTGAGAGTGCGGCACATTCTAAATTGTTCTCTTCCTCCAAATTACCTTGGAACACATTTCTATTGGTGCTGGATGTTGTGTCCATTACACTGAAGAAACACTAGCACTGACGCAAATGAACATTGCGTAAATTGAACCGTAATCCCCCGCATAGTACACCCCCCAAAAATGAACACCGATGGGTGTTCAAGTACAGTGGGTGTACAAAAAAATACGCCAGTTATAACACCCCCCATTTTTTCTAAAATTTTGAGCACACCCTGTCACAATCTAGCAGGAGAATAAATGAACAATGAAAGAGTTGGGTACAAGTACTAACCCTAATTGGGTTATGACATACCCCCATAGGCAAAGTGGGGGAGTACAAGCAGTCACAGAAAAGCAAAGAAAGCTCAGGGTGGATCACGAAGTCACCACGCAGTCCGAGCACAAGCTTATGGCCACAAGGCCAGTTCACATGCAGAGTTATATAAAACAGAGCAAACAGTACAGTGATCACAACCTAGCAAGTGTAAGCATGCAGGTATATATATAGATCACAGTACAAGCAAAGTCACGCAGTGAGCAAGTGAGAAAACGTAGGCACAAGGCCTAAAGCAGTATAGAAACGCTGATGATCACGAGCGGAAGTGCCTTGGTGAATATCTCAGCTTTGTTGGCCCGGGTGGCCACGTAAGCAAGACGAAGCTGACCACGCTGCTGCAACTCTCGAGCAAAGAAGTAACGCAGAGCGATGTGCTTCGTTTTGTGCTCCAGTTTGTGCTACTAACACAAGGCAATGGCGGCCTTATTGCATACGTACATAACTGGAGAACTAGGCCGCTCTCCCAAGTCGGTCAGGAGGTAGGTGAACCAACGTAAATCTCAGCCATGGCTCCTGTGTAGATCTCAGCCTCACAACTGGAGCTGAGAACAGAAGACGAGCGAGTAGAACGCCACGAAACAGAGCCAGAGCCAAGGCTGAATGTGTAACCCTGTGACGACCGCTGCGTAGCCAGGTCATCAACCCAAGAGGCGTCTGAGTGTCCAGTGAGGACAACTCGACCCTGTCCTCCAAGCACAAGCCCCATGCTTGATGTACTACACAAGTCGTAACGCAACACCCTCTTAGCAGCCTCCCAGTGCTCTCTCCAGTGTCTCCCGGGCGCAACGTAGCGAGCCAGGATGCTAAGAGGGTACGCAAGGTCAGGTTGAGTGCAGGTCATCAGGTACATGAGGCAGCCCACAAGCTCTGGATACGGGCCACTCGACTCTACGGACTCGTCCGAAGGTGGAGATGAGAGCGAGTGACCGGTAGGCAGAGGAGTGGACTGTGGTGAGGAGAACTGGAAGCCGACGTGCTAAAGGACCTGCTGCACCATGTGTGACTGAGTCAGGGTGATGGTGCGCCGTGCTCTGTCCCGGGTGATCTGCAAGCCAAGATAGCTGCGCAACTCACCCAGGTCAGTGCAGGTGTGTCTCTTCTGCAGCTCCGACTTCACAAGGGCCAGTGCCTCAATGTCAGCAGTGGCAAAGACCAAGTCTTCAACGTACACGAGGATGTAGAACGGCGGCAGCGAAGTGTCGGTGTGCAGAAACAGCGACGGGTCAGCAGTCGATGGAGCAAACCCGAGAGTCGCAAGTGTCTTCCTCAGTGTGTCGTGCCACTCACGAGGCGCCAGGCGGAGACCGTAGACTGGCCGCCGGAGGCTCCACTGGGTACCTGTAGGAAACGATCCAGTGAAGCCAGGTGGGCGGCGCAGCCAGATCTCCTCGTGCAGGCTGCCCTGTAAGAAAGTTGTGCTGAAGTCAAGAGAGTGCAGCTCGTAGTCACGCTGAGCGGCAACGTGCAGCAGCACCCGAAGAGTGGTCATCTTCGGGGTAGGGGAGAAGGTCTGGAAGAAGTCAACTCCCTGTCGCTGACTGAAGCCTCGAGCAACGTAATGAGCCTTGAAGACAGGCGGAGAATCGGCGACTGCCTCACCCTGAAAATCCACATGCCATCGACTATGTTCGCCCCAGGAGGGGGAACTGCGTCGACGTAAGTGCCTGTGGACTTCCAGGATGCCATCTCTGCGTCCATGGCTGTTTGCCACTGAGAGGAGTAGGGACCCGAAATCGCCTCTGCGTAAGAGCGTGGGGTCGGGATGTCCAGTGCATCCGGGTCTCCCTCAGGTGCAAGCAGCATGGCCACGAGATGAGGTACAGCAGCTGCAAGACACTCAAAGTCCTCCTGCCTGTCCTCAAGGACGTCCGTGCCAAGAGCACACTCACCCCCGACGGACGGAGGACAGACAGACTCAGACTCAGCAACAAGACTAGCAGCGTAGTCTAGACGACACACAGCAGCAAAGTCCACAAGCTCAACAACTAAGGCAGACGCAACAGTAGACTCAAACGATAGGTCAGTGACGACTGTGGCCAGGAGACGCGTGACAGTAGGGCTGGCAGCACGAACCAAGTCAGACGCAGGGTCCGGGACGTCAGGAAGAGAGGACGCAGGAGGAGATGGCAGGGGGACATGCTACGGAAGGAATAGAGGAAGGACGAAGTGCCATAGTGTGAGTACCTGGCACTGGAGGAGGACGCGGACGAGGGATACAACGAGCACGGCGAATTGTGCGAACAGGGGAGGCAAGACGATGCATAGGCTCACGTCGCTCCGTAAGGGAGATTGGCTGCTCAGTGTAACGAGAGGGGGCAGGCAGCGGTGAGTCTTGATGAAGGGCAGTGGACGAAGGAAGACTAAGAACCTGACGGAGCACCGACTCGGGCGGTAGTGAGGACAGCTGCGGCGGCGGCAAGAAAAACGGTCGCTGCTGCACAGGGCCTCCAGCTCCAGCACCTCCAGCTCCAGCACCTCCAGCTCCAGTGCCTCCAACTCCAGCACCTCCAGCTTCAACGCCTGCAGCTCCAGAGCGTGCAGGTGCAGTGCCTCCAGCTCCAGCACCTCCAGCTCCAGTGCCTCCAGTGGCAGTGCCTCCAGCGCCAATGCCTCCAGCGCCAGTGCCTCCAGCTCCGGTGCCTCCAGCTCTAGTGCCTCAATCTTCAGCGCCTCCAGCGCCAGCGCCTGCAGCTCCAGCGCCTCCAGGTCCAGCACCTCCAGCGCCAGTGCCTCCAGCATCAGCGCCTCCAGCGTCAGCGCCTCCAGCTCCAGCGCCTGCAGCTCCAGCGCCTCCAGCTCCAGTGCCTCCAGCTCCAGCAGCGCGACTCCGAAGGCGGGTGCGCCGAGCAAACCACTCGCGCAGCTGCTGTGGTGAGAGAGGCTCTCGCTGGCTAGACCGCTGCGGCGAGGCACCCGGAGGTACACCAACAGACGCAGCACCACCAGGCTCAGCACCCCCAGACTCAACACCCCCAGGCTCAGCACCCCCAGGCTCAGCACCCTCAGGCTCAGCACGCCCAGGCTCCGCACCCGCTGGCTCAGCACCCCCAGGCTCCGCACACTCAGGCTCAGCACCCCTTGTGCTCCGCACGCTCAGGCTCAGCACCCCTAGGCTCCGCACGCTCAGGCTCAGCACCCCCATGCTTTGATACCATGTCAGAATCTAGCAGGAGAATTGGGTACAAGTACTAACCCTAATTGGGTTGTACCCCATACAGGCTACCCCACTACAACCTAGACAACACAATGTTCTGACACACCCGCCACCTGATTTAAACATAAAACGAGAGGCTATTTTCAACGAATTTCCCTATCGGGAGGGGCGCCGCCTCACCCTGAAAGGCCACTACGCAAGGTTGGGGGACTGCCTTAGTTTTTGCGCATACAGGAGACTTGCTAGAGCCTGCATGACGTGGCTCACGCACCACGCGCATTGCAAATTCTGTTTCGGTTCGATTCGTTAAATGAATGTGAGTTCAGAACAGAAAACATGTGTTTTTTAGTTAAAATTATGTCATTACATAAGACTCATAGGTGCGGGCTTAACCCCCCCCACTCCCCCCCAATATTTAAAGACCCCCTTTAAGGGGTATTTATCAGTACACCCTAGGGTGTACTATGCGGGGGATTACGGTACCTGAGGAACAGATTCTGTCAAGCTCCTTTGCCACAATCCCTGTTGAAGCTTTGAGACGTCTCAAAATTAGCACCTTTGCCCATTCCCCCTTGAAGTAGAACCTTGCAGAAAGAAAGGAAGAAAAAACAGTATCTCTGAAACAAAGGAAAGGGGGATGAGGGAGGTGGAACGAGGGGGACACATGAGGGTTGAGTCGAAAGCACACGTGAACAATGTAGGGCAATAAAAACGTGTCATAAAAGGGTGAATACCCTAGGACTTGGGAACCTAGGGTTTGGTTAGGATGAGAGTATCAAGAGAGTTGGGAGGGCTTGCAATATTGAAAGAGGTACAACATATAGTCTAAGGAAAGGTAGGAAGGGGGGTACACCACCAACAATAGAACCTAGATGATACTATATTAGTTAGGATGCATGCAGTTATTAGAATATAATCTAACGAAAGGATCATAGCCTTTCCAACGAATCAAGAGCTCCAAGGTGCCATTGCGTTGTTGACGATGCACCAAAACCGCTTCAACTTCGTACTCAGGTTCGCCATTAACGAGGACTGGCGGCGACGGCGGCGGCGGCTGTCGACCTTCGAACACCGTGTTCGGGTCCCGATATGGTTTGAGAAGTTGAAGATGGAAGGCATTGTGAATTTTCCAGGTAGCTGGTAAACGCAAGCGGAAGGTTACTGGAGTGACATGCGCCTCTACGAGGAAAGGCCAGCAGAAGAAAGGTCCCGATATGGTTTGCGAAGTTGAACATGGAAGGCATTGTGAATTTTCCAGGTAGCTTAGATGGAAAATGGCTGATGTCAAGATTGCGTGTATCTAGAAGCACTTGATCGCCGATCTTGATGGAATGATCATTGCGACTGCGATTGGCGAGCTTCTTTTGTTACTGCTGGATGGTTTAAAGTCGTTTATGAGTGCGCTCCCACAACTGGTGCATAGTGGTAATGAAGTAATGTGCGGGTTGCATCGCGGCAGGTACTGTTGGTTTCTGAGGCGTGAGTGGGTTGCGACCGTCACAGAAGAAGAAAGGGGTCTATCATGTTTCGGCGTGTGTAGCATTGTTATATGCAAACTCGAGAATCGGTAGGTGCGCATCCCATTTAGAGATATCGTCCTTACACGCTGCTCGCAGAAGCTGTTCAACAATCTAGTTGAGGCGCTCTGTCTGGCCGTCCGTTTGGGGATGATAAGCTGATGACATAGCAAGTTTGGTCCCCATGAGCGACTTGAGTTCATTCTAGAATTTGCTTGTAAATTTTGGATCTCTGTCGGAGATCAGCGTGGTCGGAATGCCATGCTGCGAGATGACGTAGCGGAAGAATAATTGTGTTGTCTCCTCTGTGCGAGCCATCGTGTGTGTCAGGATGAAGTGTCACATTTTAGAAAATTTGTCGATGACAACTAGGATGGCGTCGTATCTAGCTTTGGTAGGTGGTAACCCAGTGACCACTTGCCAAGGCTGTTCGGGGACAGGAAGAGGCTGCAATAATCCGGCTTTCTTCTGCTTGCTGCTCTTCATCCATTGGCATGTGTCGCACCAGGTGACGAATTTTGGTACGTCATCTGCCATGTGGGATAATAGTGCTTTGCAATACCGGCAGGCGTCTTGTTACTACCGAAGTCACCCGCGTAGAGAACGTCATGATATTCTTCGAGTAGTAGCTGACGTAAAGGAGGGTAATTAGGTACCCATATTTTTGTGGATCCCTTGCAGTATGCGATGTCTTGATCCCAGTGCAGAAGATGGCGCTTTTCTGCTACAAATACTTCGGGGTCGATATTGTATCCATGCATAAAGAGTCCCTTCAAGAGCGGGTTCATGCCATCGACTTGCAGACCGACTGAGTGTGTCTGCTTCGTTCTTGTGCCCCGGCTTATATACGATGTCGTAATGGAAGTGGGTTTCGAGGAAGTCAATCCACCGGACCTGCCGCCTGGAGAGTGTTGGTTGGGTTTTTAGGTATTTCGGGCTGCATTGGTCGGTGTAGACGGCCGTCTTTCTTCCTTCGGAATAACATATCCATGCCTTGAACGCGTTGACGATTGCGAGGGCCTCTTTGTCATGGATAGGGTAATTGAGTTCTGTCCCATGAAGATTTTTACTGAGGTATGCAATAGGCTGCAATCTTTTCCCTTGGTCTTGCATTAGTACTGCGCCCACTGCTTGATCGCTAGCATCCGCCTCGATGACATAGTCAAGTTCGGGGTCTGGCAAGGTGAGGACAAGTGCGGACGTGAGTGCGGATTCCAACCGTTCCACGGCTTCCTGGTGTTTCGCCTCCCACTGGAATGGATGTACAGTATTCTTCTTCAACAGGTTAGTTAGTGGTGCGGCAATTTTGGCTAAGTTTGGTACGAACCTGTTGTAGTAGTTGGCGAAGCCGAGGAACTGCTGCAACTCCTTCACGTTCTCGGGGGTCTTCCACGTTCGCACTACTTCAATCTTCTTGGGATCTACGTGAACTCCTTGAGCGCTCACCATATGTCTGAGGAATTGGACCTTCTTTAATGCAAACTCGCTCTTGGATAGTTTCACGTAGAAGCGTTCTCGTCGGAGAATTTCGAAGACGCGTCGCAGATGCTCAACGTGCTGCTTCATGTTTTTGAAGTAAATCAGGATGTCGTCCAAGTATACCACCACGCATTCGTCCAAAACGGGTCGAAGGATTTGATTCATTTCCGCCTGAAACATGGCTGGTGTGTTGATGAGTCCGAACGGCATCACGAGATACTCGTACGACCCATACCAAGTTCGGAAGGCAGTTTTATCAATAGAGTTGTCCGCCATTCGAATTTGCCAGTATCCCTATCTGAGGTCGAGCTGAGAAAACATCGTAGCACCGCGGAGTTGATCAAGCAAGTCGTCAATCCGTGGTATTGGATATTTATTTTTTTATGGTCTGTTTGTTAAGTGCACGGAAATCGATGCACATTCGCAGGCTTCCATTAGGCTTTGGAATGAAGAGAACTGGAGCTCCGTACGGCGAAGTAGAAGGTCAGATCAGCCCTTTCTCCAGGAGATACTCTATTTTTTTTTCATATCAACAAGCTCCGTCGGACTCAGCCGGTATGGTGCTCGGAACGTCGGCTTGGATCCCGGCTCTTCCACGATCTCGTGTTGGTGTGTCCTGTATGGTGGTAGCTGATCGGGTAGATCGTCGGGGAGAACGTCTTGGAACTCTTCAATAATTTTCTTGATTTCTGGAGGAAGTTCTTGGGTCTGCTTCTCTCGGTTGTCTGCTTCGTTGACTATCGCCATAAATCCCGCCGTCGTCCGTTTAACGTCCTTTTCAAAGTGTGTGAGTGTCTCGATTGGAATATTTCTTGTGTCGCCCCATTTGGGAAGGCTAATTTTCCTCCCGTTGTTGTTGATGTTGGCCGTCCGGGTAACCCAGTTGATCTCGAAATTGAAAATTTTAAGAAAGTCTCTCCTGATGATTACGTCGAGTCCTTTAATATTTGTGATGGGGAGAGCAGGCTTCCATCGCATGGGGTCCAATGTGTAGTAGTTACCATGTTTCCCCGTAGATTGGTTGCTTACTGCCATCCACCATCGTTGCCGAGAAGCTTGAGGACTTGATTTTACCTCCGAGTCGATCGATTACCTTTTTGTCGTAAACGTTGTGCAACACCCCGTTGTTCACGAGTGCTTGGAGGTGCTGCCAGTTGCAGATCACCTCGAGCAGGTTTGGTGAGCGTTGCTCGGAGTACCCAAAAATAGTTTCATTAATAGGATCATAGGTTACATCCCAATATTCAGTACACGTCGTGGTTCCACTGATTGCTCCTAGACTAACTGGTGGCCTGGGCTGTATAGAGAAAGGCTCCTCTCCAACGCCAGGAGTAGAGGTAGTCACTGTGGTGGTTGACCCTGAGGGGGTGGATCCGGTCAACGCATGCGATCTACTGGATGCATCCTAGAGGGGTTTTTGGAGTTTTCGCAGCTTCATTTCAACTCCCAGCTGCCTCCTCAGCTGCTTCAGCTCCATAGACTTCTTCCCTGGGGAGTGGAGAGTCGTCTTGGGCTGGTTCAAGGAGAAGACGTTGACGCCGTGGAAAGGCCTTGATTTCGCTGCAGCAACCTGGCAACGAATGTTGTTTTTCAAGCAACCACCTGCCGTTAGCCGAACGCGCTCACTTTGGCCAGCACAAGACTGCTAAAGCCCTGTTCAACGATGTAGTCGCTCGTTACTCCTCCCATGCCACTGCTGCTCTCAGTCGCCTTATACTGCCCTACCTTTTTCCCGAGCTGTCAGCCTTTGCCACAATCGATGACCTCATCACCCTCGTTCGCACTAGCGACACTCGCTACCGCGCCGCGCTTAAAGCCGAGTCCCTAGACAAGAATTGCCCCCGATGTACATCACTCTCTACTTCATAGTCACACGCCTCTCTGACTCTCTTCGCGCAGTCAGGGACCACTTTCTCGCCCTTGACCCCACAGACCTCACTGTCGACCTGCTCGAGAAGCACCTCCTTGCAGCTGATACTGGCATAGTCGCTG